GGGCTAGTGCCCAATCCAACTTCTGTTTTCAAAATGCATCTCCAGTTTCAGGCTCCATTCCACTGACAAAGTGAATTGAAAACATTGCTGTTCCATCAGTATCTTCCTTATCTCCTGAATGTTGTCCAAAGGTATTTCTAATCTACTCTGAATATCCTGTAGTTTCATCTTTTTTGCTTTTTGTTGTTTTTTTAATGGAGTATAGCTGACATAAACATTATATTTGTTTTAGGTGTACAACATAATGATTTGACATTTGTATACATTGCAAAATGATCACTTTAATAAGTCTAGTTAATATCCACCATCATATATAGTTACAAAGAATTCTTCTCTTGTGATAACAACTTTTAAGACCTACTCCATCAGCAACTTTCAACTATGCAACACAGTCTTAGTAAATAAAGTTGCCATGCTGCACATGATATCCCCATGAGTTAACTATTTATAACTACAAGTTTGTACATTTAATCCATAGCCCCAAACCTCTGGCGCCTCCACTTCTGGCAACCACCAAACTGGTCTCTGTGTCTATGATCCTCTTTGTTTTTCCTCTGTTTTTTGTAATTTTTTTTGGATCCCACATATAAGTAATATCATACAGTGTTGTCTTTCTCTATCTGACTTATTTCATTTAGCATAATGCCCTCAAGGTCTATCTACGATGTTGCAAATAGAAAAATTTCATTCCTTTTTATGGCTAAGTAGTATTCTTCTGTGTGTGTGTGTGTGTGTGTGTGTGTGTGTGTGTGTGTGTGTGTCACATTTTCTCTATCCATTCATCTGTTGACAGACACTTAGACTGTTTCCATAACTTGGCTATCATAATTAATGTTGCAATGAAAGTGGGGGTGCATAAAACTTCTCAGGTTTGCATTTTTGTTTTCTTGGGATATATTCCAAAGTGGAATTGCTGCATCATCTGGCAATTCTAGTTTTAATTTTTTAAGTAATCTTCACAGTGTTTTCCATAATGGTTGCACCAATTTATATTCCCACCAACAGTGCCCGAGTGTCGCCTTTTCTCCATATGCTCAGCAACAGTTGTTTCTTCTTCTTTTTGATATTAGCCATCCTAACAGGTGTAAGTAGTATCTCGTTGTTTCTATTTTCATTTCCCTGATGATTAATTATGCTTATGTTGAGCATTTGTTTATGTTTATTGACCATCTGTATGTCTTCTTTGGACAAATGTCTAGTCATATTTTCTGTCCATTTTGTTTAATTGGATCATTTGGAGTTTTTGTTTTGTTACATTTAGTTGTATGAGTTCTTTATATTTTGGGTACTAACCCATTACCGGATACATGATTGCAAGTATTTTCTTCCATTCAGTAAGTAGCCTTTTCATTTTGTTGATGGTTTCCTTTCCTCTGAAGAAGATTTTAGTCTGACATCCTTTGTGTGTGTCATCAAGGAGCTTACCAGCTATGTTTTCTGCTGGCAGTTTAATGGTTTCAGGTCTTATATTCAAGTCTTTTACTCCATTTTGATTTAATTTTTGTTTGGAGTGAGATAGTTGTCCAGCTTCATTCTTTTGCATGTAGCTACCCAGTTTTCCCACCACTGTTCATTAAAGAGACTTTCCTTTCCCCATTGAATAGTCTTGACTCTTCTGTCATAAATTAATTGACCATATATGCATGGGTTTATTTCTGGGTTTTCTATTTTGTTCCATTGATCTGTGTGTCTGTTTCTATGCCCGTATCATGGTAGTTTGTTTACTATAGCTTTTAAATATAGTTTGAAACCAGGCAGTGCAATGCTGCCTGCTTTGTTGTTCTTCCTCAAGACTGCTTTGGTTATTTGCAGTTCCATACAAATAATAGGATTGTTTGTTCTGGTTCTGTGAAAAATGACATTGGAATTTTGATAGGGACTGCATTGGATCTGCAGATTGTTTTGGATAGGATGGTAATTTTAACAATATTAATCCCTCCAGCCCAGGAGCATGGAATATTTTCCCATTTATTTGTGTCTTCTTCAATTTCTTTCATAAATGTCTTGTAGTTTTCAATATGTAGGTCTTTCACTTTCTTGGTTAAATTTATTCCTAGGTATTTTATTCTTTTTAATGCAATTATAAATAAGATTGTTTTCTTAATTTATTTTTCTAATAGTTCATTATTACTTTATAGTAATGCAACAACAGATTTCTGCATATTGATTTTGTATCCTGCAACTTTACTGAATTCATTTAGTTCTCACATTTTTTTGGTGGAGTCCTTAGGGTTTTCTATATATAGTGTCATGTCATCTGCAAATTGTGACAATTTTACTTCTTCCAATTGAAATGCCTCCTATTTCTTTTTCTAGCCTAATTGCTCTGGCTAGGACTACTAATACTGTGTTGAATAAAAATGGTTAGAGTGGGCATCCTTGTCTGGTTCTAATCATAGAGGAAAACCTTTTAACTTTTCACCTTTGAGTATGTTAGTTGTGGGATTGTCATATATGTCCTTTATTGCATTGAGTATGTCCCTATACACCCACTTTTTGAGTATTTTTATCATAATGAATGTTGAATTTTGTCAAATGCTTTTTCCTGCATCAATTGAGATGGTCATATGGTTGCTATCTCTTATTTTGTGGATGTGGTGTGTCACTGATTGATTCGTGGATGCTGAACCACTCTTCCATTCCTGGAATAAATCCCACTTGGTGACATATATGATCCTTTTAATATGTTGTTGAATTCAGTTTACTAATATTTTGATAAGGATTTTTACATTTATTTTCATCAAAGATATTGGCCTATAATTTTCTTTTCTTAGAGTGCCTTTATCTGGTTTTGTTACCAGGATAATGCATACCTCCTAAAATGAGTTTGGAGGCATTTCCTCGTCTTTTTTGGAAGAGTGTGAGTATTGGTGCTTCATCATATATTTGGTAGAATTTACCAGTGAAGCCATCTAGTCCTGGACTTTTATTTGTTGGAAGATTTTTGATAATTGATTCAATCTCCTTACTTGTAATAAATCTCCTCATATTTTCTGTTTCTTCATGATTCAGTCTTGATAGATTGTATGTTTCTTGGAATGTATTCATTTCTTCTAGGTTGTCCAATTTGTTGGTATTTAATTGCTCATAGTAGCCTCTTATGATCCTTTGTATTTCTGTGATGTCAGTTATAACATCTCTCATTTCAAATGTTATTTATTTGCATCTTCTCTCTTTTTTTTTCTTGGTGAGTCTATCTAAAGGTTTGTCAATTTTGTTCATTTTTTCAAAGAACCACCTTACCTTCATTTGATCTTTTCTACTTTTCACTTTTTATTTCATTTTCCTCCACTCTGATCTTTGTATTTCCTTCTGTCTACTAACTTTGGGCTTTGTATATTATTCTTTTTATAGATCCTTGAGGTGTAAAGTTAGGTTATTTGAGATTTTTCTTGTTTCATGATGTAGGTATTTATCACTAAGAATTTCTCTCTTGGAATTGCTTTTGCTGCATTCCATAAATTTTAGTATGTAATATTTTCATGTTTGTTTGTCTCAAGCTATTTTTTTAAATTTCTCTTTACATTTCTTCTTTGACCCATTGGTTGTTCAGTAGCATGTTTCTTAATCTCCACATATGTGTAAGTGCATCTTTTTTGTTTGTTTATATTATTAAATTGTGACCCAATAGATATCTACTAAAAATATTCTGGGTATAACTTTTTGGACTTAACTTCATCTTTGGTCTTTTCTTAATCCCATTTTATGAGGAAAGAGGGATCCTGTAGGTCCTTTTCCAGGTAGGTCCAATCAGCTTTTCTCATCCAGAATTAAATATCTGAGATTCTGAACACTGTGTGTAAAAGTTGATATAGCTCAGGTAATCCTAGGTCACATGCCCCCAAAAGATCTCTAAATTCTTATGTGACTATTTGCTTGTCTTGTTTGAATCTAAGGAAATCACTCATTATAGTTCTTAATTCAGCTTAGGTACAAGGTTTTCTCCACTTGTCTGCATACCTGACTCATGGAAAGGATTGATATAAAGAGACACTGCATTCTTGGGACTTAGGAGGGTTGTTTGTAAAAGGTAGGAAGTCTGAACAAGAGGAAGATGAGAGAGGAGTTGATAAAGGCACAGAAGAAATTGGACTAGAAGGATAATGTGGGAGATGGGTTGCTGGATATCAAAGTGGTTCTAGTTTGCTCTTGCTTAACTTTACTGAACTGCTCATTAGCTCTGGTCAAAGAACCTTTTAATGAAGCGTTTTGGATTTGGAATTTTGTTTGGAGACCTCTGCACACCAATCAAAAAATGCTGCCAATTAGGCCTGCAAAATATTCCCTTTCTTTTTCTCAAATGAACAATTGTAGCAAAACAAATGTTCCCAGAATGGTCACTGAAGGTCCAAATCATCCTTGGTGAAGATATGCCATTTAGAAACACAGGTACAAGAATTATAGTTGTAAAGATAGTACATGTAAGAAGCAGGAGTTTTTCCATGTATAGGAAAGGATTTCAACTTACATGACCCATGAGAGCTGGCAACAGTTGGTATGAATGTAATACTTCTGCATCCTGTATCTCGAGCCTCCTGCCAGAAAGTTAGCCACCTCCAAGTGAAGACCCCACAATCTATACCCCTGGAAGGCAGGAAAACCACACCGCACAACACTCTCTCTGGATCAAAGCTAGTTCTTAGAACACAAAATCAAGACAGAGGAAAACCTCATCCAGTTTTATTATTAACCTATAGCAAAATTTGTCTAAGTGGATGCTGGTCTGATAAAAACTAAATGCACTGGTCTGTGAAGTCAGCTCAAACCACAGTTTTATAGTATCTATGCCTGTGTTCTATACCATGACTCTCCTTATGACAACACTAAGCACAAAACTGTAACACAAAAGACAGAAAAAAGAGATGAAAAAGAGTGGCCTGACACCACCAAAAATACCAATAAAATGGGAACCAATAACACAACTTGGGTACCAAAATGAGAATAAACAGCCAAGGAACTAAACTCAGAGGGAGTGAAATTTAGACCCAGTGTTGCCTTACCACAACTGCACCTCTGGGGATTCCACATATGGCCAAAGACTGGGATCCATGGCAACAGGCAGTGCAGACCATATCTCAGTGGCATCTCCACTACAACTGTGGAAATAAAAAAGACCAACAAAATGAGAAAAGCAAAGCCTATTTATTCAGTTTCCTACAGCAAGTGATCAACCACCATCACTTATGTTTAGTAGACTCAAGGCAGGCACAGGAGTGGGTAAGGTTTATAGTGGAATAAAGGGAAGCTTCAGCTGTGCCCTGATTGGAGGTTGTTGGCATGCAGAAGCTGCAGGCGGGCTAACTAGAAGCAGGACATCCCAGTTGGTTAGGGATGCATATTTGTGTCCTAAGTTGGAATCACGGGCAAAATGTAGGGAAGCTATCTTTTATTAATTAAGTCCTGGCCATGTTCAGCCAATTGTTACAGAGGGTATTGTTTGACTGTTTAGACTGGCTGCTGGAGATCATGGTTTGACTTCCTGGACTGGTTATTGTAGATATGAGCTGTCTTCTTGGGCTAGTTACCGCAGGTTATGGGTCAGAGCTCTGTGTTTATATAGACAATGGTCTGGCCATTGTTCATTGGTATGTTCAGTATCTGAACACAAAACCTTCAACCCAACAAATTCATGCCTAGAAATTTGTTTTACATGAATAAAATGAGCTACGTACAAGGTTATGCATGGCAACACTGTTTTGATAGAAAAAAGAAAAGATTAAAAACAACCAAACTATCATCACAGCACAAAATAAATAAGTGAGGGTGCACCCCTATCATGGAATGCTCAGAAAGTATCCCCTTATTTGTGTTCCCAAAGCCCATTATACATGCTTTGATTATAGCACTCATATGGTATCTATTTATATGTCAGACTTCTCTATTACATTCTTAAGAAATCAAAGAAAAATTTAACTTTATTAATATTTGTGTCCTCTCAATAAATATTTGTCAGTTGAGAGTGAAATACAAGGTATCTATTCCTTTTCAACCAGAAGATAGGCAGTCAAAACAAGCAGTTCAGAGTTTTAATTTCACTAATAAAAAAACACAGTTCTGTAAATTAAAGCATTGTTTTTGAAAAACAAGTTTATTCTACCATGAATTTGGATGTTAGGACACATTTACAGAAAGAAACATGGCTGTTTAATTCAAATTAATTAAAGATCTTGGGACATTACCTAAAAGAAAGTTTCAGCGGACTTTCTCTGAAAAGCCAGATAGCAAATATTTTAAGCTTTGAGGGCCATATTGTATCTGTTACCTATTCATTGTTTGGTTTCATTTGCTTTTAACAACCTTTCAAAAATAAAACCTTCCTTATTTCTAACGCTGTATAAAAACAAGTCACAAGTTAGATATGGAGTTCACAGACCCCCTATCTAAAAGCCAAAGTTTACTGACTTTTTTCTATTCTTAAGAGAGGACTTTGGAGAAATATCTAAGTACAGGTATCTAAATATCATTGGAAGGGTATAAAACGCACTTCTTAAAGCAAAGAAACAATACAATAAAAGATATTGAAGTGAATCCTGAAATTTTAGAATCAGAGTCACATGGAAGACTTGCTAAAACCCAGACTGCTGTGGGGCCCAGCACCCCAGCGAGGTAATGTTCCCTGTCAAGGACCACATTTTGAGAACCACTGCTATAGAGATGGAAATACTAAATGAAACCTTCCAAGACCTCAATTTTGTGCAATATTTCCTTTGCTATGTCATTAAGATTATTCTCATGACTTCAAACAATGCTCCTAGGCATTAATTCCCCTCTTAACTACGTATCAGGCACAACTTCCCAATCTCACCCAACTCTGAGCATAAAAGAAAGAGAATGTTGACAAACAGGTAGCGTCCCTTGAAGAGCAGCTCTGGAACAAGAGCACAGCAGCAATCTGGAACATGATCCCCTTCTGCACTGAGAACTTTCTGTACCCCTCTCTGAGGTAGGCCCTGATATTGAAGGCTGCTGACCTGCCATGAACCAGAATGGAATATAGGGACAGCCTGTGTAACCTGTGTGACTAGTTCAGCCAGTCTTCAAGTATCCCAGGCACTTAGGTGGTTTGAGTTTTTATCTTTTTTTTTTCTCTATCTATTCATGCATTTATTTTATTCTGTTCAGACTGTACAACTGTTAAAAATTTTACAAAAAGTATAAAAGCCATTATCTAATGCAAGTTCAGAGCTAAATTACAGAAAAGGAAAACAGTATAGTAAGTTACAAGAGAGTTGGGTGTCCTGTACAAGTCACATAGTCTGTCATGGGATGTGTGTGAAACTGTAAATATTGCCACAGGAGAATCTGTTGTCTCTGCAGTGACCACACAGTACCTGTCGATGAGGCCTCCTTAGTTCAGTATGTCTTTTCTTTTGAGGAAATGAGCAATGATTCTACTTGATAAGGGTTAAAACTTACTTGCAACAGAGTGGCCAGAAATAAACCTTATTTGTTCCAGAACGTAGCACAGGTAAACACTCTTCCATCTGGTCTGACCATTTTTACAGTAAAGATAGTCACGTCTGGGAGCTGGCCTTCAAGAGTGGGTGGACGGCACGACTCTGGGCCTGCTTGCTCTTCTTGCCCGAGGACTCAGGGCATCCTGCACTCGATACGTCACACTGCCGACTTCCTCCTGCCTTCGTCTTCTGATTTGGTGTTGGTGGCAGCCGCTGCTGGTTGGCCTCCTCAGAGTCTGACGGTGCCTTCCTCTCCTTGTCTTCTCCATCCTTCTTCAGCCTGATCAAGCCCCTCCAAATGACAACCGGTGATAGATTCCCCAGGTCAGCAGGGGTGCCCTGTGGCTTGTGCTGCCCCAGGGGAAGCAGCTATTCAAGGGCCCAGCAAGCACTGTACAGGTCTGTCCACCATGGGCTCAGCTGCACACCCACTGCCTTAGTGCTGGCCTTGCAGGCTCGGGCTGGGGTTCACCTAGGAGAGAGTGGCTTGCCCTTTTGTAAGGGTCAGTGCAATATTGGAGGTATTCACAGGCACCAGCAGCCCTGGTCTAGCAAGAAAAATGAGAGGGCCAGTGTCTTGCCTCTAGTCGGGTTGTTTGTGCTCAGAGTCCAGGCTGGGCCAAAGGAAACATATTCTCATAGCCCTGGTCCGAGCCACAGGGAATATGGACAAAGTGCTCTAACGCTCACCCACTGTCCAGGCACAGTCGGTGAAGTTTGTTGTGTCTTTGTTTTGCCTTCCACCTTCATCTGTCCCTCCCTCCTTCTGATCAAGTTGGTTCTCCATGCATTTTTTGGTGGATTTTGATGTTGGTGTCAACATTGATGATGATGTTAGCTTACCTGAAAGCTGTGCAAATGCATGTATATATTTCCCCTGGGGTCAAAAGTGAGATTATTTGTTGAGTTAATATATATCAGACACTTTGAAGAATATGTGGCACATAAGTTGTGCTATACATGCGGCCAAGTTCCAGAATTTGCTATTATTATTCACAGCACCCAGCATAGGGCTGGGCTTTTAGCAAGAGCTCAATAAATGTATTTTAAATGAATGAATAAACAGACTGTATGGCTTTTGGTTATGAGAATTCCTCCCCCAAAGTTTTTGTAGTTTACCCATTGTCACTGGAAACACTAAATGAGAATCCCTCCCCACAAAGTTTTTGTAGTTTACCCATTGTCACTGGAAACACTAATAACTTGGGAAAATTAGATCTCACATGGCTGACTTTGGAAGAATCTTCCCCACTCCCTCAAAGCCTGAACCCTATCTGATGATCCTAAAATGCTAACCCAAGGAGGTTTATCAGAGCAAAAGTCTTCTGAAAAGAAAGACAGGGAAGCAGCTTTTAAAGGAAAGGATATTCTTTTAGGGTTTCCCTAAAGGCATAGATATGGGAAGCCAGTGGAGTTCTGTGTTACTGTTCTTACTTCCCTAGACTTTGGGGAGTAGTTCCAGTTTAAATAGCTTGGAGGAAAGAACGGTGGGAGTTGGTGGAAAAAAGAAGCAAGTAATTTTTTAAAAAGCATATTGACTAATACCCAAACCAGGCAAAGACCCCACCAAAAAAGAAAATTATAGACCAATATCCCTGATGAACACAGACGCAAAAATACTCAACAAAATATTAGCAAACCGAACTAAAAAATGCATCAATAGGATCATACACCATGACCAAGTGGGATTCATACCAGGGATGCAAGGATGGTACAACATTCAAAAATCAACATCATCCACCACATGAACAAAAAGGACAAAAACCACATATTCATCGCCATAGATGCTGAAAAAGCATTCAACAAAATTCAACATACATTCATGATAAAAACTCTCAGCAAAATGGGTATAGAGGGCAAGTACCTCAACATAATAAAGGCCATATATGATAAACCCACAGCCAGCATTATACTGAACAGCGAGAAGCTGAAAGCATTTCCTCTGAGATCGGGAACCAGACAGGGATGCCCACTCTCCCCACTGTTATTTAACATAGTACTGGAGGTCCTAGCCACGGCAATCAGACAAAACAAAGAAATACAAGGAATCCAGATTGGTAAAGAAGAAGTTAAACTGTCACTATTTGCAGATGACATGATATTGTACATAAAAAACCCTAAAGACTCCACTCCAAAACTACTAGAACTAATATCGGAATTCAGCAAAGTTGCAGGATACAAAATTAACACACAGAAATCTGTGGCTTTCCTATACACTAACAATGAACTAATAGAAAGAGAAATCAGGAAAACAATTCCATTCACAATTGCATCAAAAAGAATAAAATACCTAGGAATAAACCTAACCAAGGAAGTGAAAGACCTATACCCCAAAAACTATAAGACATTCTTAAAAGAAATTAAAGAGGACACTAACAAATGGAAACTCATCCCATGCTCTTGGCTAGGAAGAATTAATATTGTCAAAATGGCCATCCTGCCCAAAGCAATATACAGATTTGACGCAATCCCTATCAAATTACCAACAGCATTCTTCAACAAACTGGAACAAATAGTTCTAAAGTTCATATGGAACCACAAAAGACCCCAAATAGCCAAAGCAATCCTGAGAAGGAAGAATAAAGTGGGAGGGATCTTGCTCCCCAACTTCAAGCTCTACTACAAAGCCACAGTAATCAAGACAATTTGGTACTGGCACAAGAACAGAGCCACAGACCAGTGGAACAGAATAGAGTCTCCAAACATTAACCCAAACATATATGGTCAATTAATATAGGATAAAGAAGCCATGTACATACAATGGGGAAATGACAGCCTCTTCAATAGCTGGTGTTGGCAAAACTGGAGAGCTACATGTAAGAGAATGAAACTGGATCATTGTCTAACCCTATACACAAAAGTAAATTCAAAATGGATCAAAGACCTGAATGTAAGCCATAAAACCATAAAACTCTTAGAAAAAAATATAGGCAAAAATCTCTTGGACATAAACATGAGCAACTTCTTCATGAACATATCTCCCCGGGCAAGCGAAACAAAAGCAAAAATGAACAAGTGGGACTATATGAAGCTGAAAAGCTTCTGTACAGCAAAGGACACCACCAATAGAACAAAAAGACATCCTACAGTATGGGAGAATATATTCATAAATGACAGATCTGATAAAGGGTTGGAATCCAAATTATATAAAGAGCTCATGCACCATAATAAACAAAAAGTGAACAATCCAATTAAAAAATGGGCAGAGGAGCTGAACAGACAGTTCTCCAAAGAAGTAATTCAGGCGGTCAACAGACACATGAAAAGATGCTTCACATTGCTAGTCATCAGAGAAATGCAAATTAAAACCACAATGAGATATCACCTCACACCAGTAAGGATCACCTCCATCCAAATGACAAACAACAACAAATGTTGGCAAGGTTGTGGAGAAAGGGGAACCCTCCTACACTGCTGGGGGGAATGGAAATTAGTTCAACCATTGTGGAAAGCAGTATGGAGGTTCCTCAAAAAGCTCAAAATAGAAATACCATTTGACCCAGAATCCCACTTCTAGGAATTTACCCTAAGAATGCAGCAGCCCAGCTTGAAAAAGACAGATGCACCCCTATGTTTATCACAGCACTATTTACAATAGCCAAGAAATGGAAGCAACCTAAGTGTCCATCAGTAGATGAATGGATAAAGAAGATGTGGTTCATATACACAATGGAATATTATTCAGCCATAAGAAGAAAACAAATCCTACCATTTGCAAAAACATGGATGGAGCTACAGGGTATTATGCTCAGTGAAATAAGCCAGGCAGAGAAAGACAAGTACCAAATCATTTCACTCATATGTGGAATATAAGAACAAAGGAAAAACTGAAGGAACAAAACAGCAGCAGATTCACAGAACCCACGAAAAGACTAACAGTTACCAAAGGGAAAGGGACTGTGGAGGATGGGTAGGAAGGGAGAGAGAAGGGTGGGGAAGAAGAAAGGGGGCCTTACGATTAGCATGTATGATGTGTTGGGGGGGCACGGGGAGGGCTGTGCAACAGAGAAGACAAGTAGTAATTTTACAGTATCTCACTACGTTGATGGACAGTGACTAATGGGGACTTGCTGAGGGGGGAGCCTAGTAAACATGGTCTCCCTCATGTAATTGTAGATTAATGATATCAAAGTAAATAAATAAATAAAGCATATTGAGGAGCTAGTAGAGTAAAAACTTCAGTTATTAAAAAAAGAAATTCATGGAGGCTGGCAGCAGGACTGTATCTGCTCAGTGTAAAATTCTAAAAAATGGAGGAGCCACCAATGAAATAAGCCAGGTGGAGAAAGACAAGTACCAAATAATTTCACTCATTTGTGGAGCATAAGAAGCAAAAACTGAAGGAACAAAACAGCAGCAGACGCACAGAACCCAAGAATGGACTAACAGTTACCAAAAGGAAAGGGACTGGGGAGGATGGGTAGGAAGGGAAGAATAAGGGGAATAAGTGGCATTATGATTAGCACACATGACATGGGGGGGGTGGGCATGGGGAAGGAAGACAAGTAGTGACTCTATAGAATCTTACTATGCTGATGGACAATGACTGTAATGAGGTATGTGGTGGGGACTTAATAATGGGGGGAATCTAGTAACTGCAGTGTTGCTCCTGTGATTTTATATTAATGATAACAAAATTTTTTTTAATGGAGGATCCACCATCACTTAAAGGGAGGAGAAAAGAAGATTAGGAAATGGGTATACCACTATATATGATGAGACATACCACCAGAGAATGCCACTCATCAGCCATGTGGAAATTCTTACAGTTGCAAATAGGAAAGTCGTTCTTGTTTCCTAATACCTACACCCAAAATGAATGAAAGGAATGAGGCTGACCAACAGAAAAAGAAACTTTGAAAACACTGGGAACCAATATTAAAATAAGCAAAGGCTCATTTTAAGTGATTTAAAATAAAAAATAATTTTAAAGTATAATTTTTTTAAGTATATGGTAATTAAAAAATATGTGTTCAAGAGCCCTGTGAAGAATGACAAAAGTAAGCATACATATAATTCTTACTCTCAAAAAGCTGAGGCATATTTTGCTTCTTCAGGTATCCAAATACACCAGTGAGTGTGTCTGTGGTGGGCACATTCAATCAGAAATAGGCTCTTTTTCACACCAGCACTGTAAGAGAGCATTGTAGCCTGTGTTCCCTCTCCAGATACCTGGGCAATGATCCAATCCAAAGGTTGGTTCCACCTAGAATAGGTACCATTCTTTAAAGGATTGATTGAGACAAATTGAAACTAAATATGTTAGTGAACTATAAATTCAAACAATATATTTGGAGAATATACAAACAATATACAACATACTAGTAGTTTTTTAGGAACTCATTTTTTTTGTAAAGTATTAGTAAAACTCTGCCAAGAATAGCCAAGCAATAGATTTAATAGATTCATTTCTTCTGATATGATAAATTTCATAGTACTTACTGATTTATTCATTGATTCATCAAACTTGACGAATTTAGCTTCATGTTCCTTCTCTCTTCCTTTTGGGATTCCACTTACATAGCATCTTAGTTTTGTACCAGAAATCCTTGAGATTATTCATTATTTTTTCATTTCTCTTTTCTCTAGAAAAGAAAGTTAGAAATTTCTTGTGATCTGTCTTTAAGATGGAATTTCTATTTGTTTCTTATTTATAGTTTCTATTTCCCTTCTGAGATTTCCTACCTTCATTTATTATGACCATATTTCCTTCACATAATTGAGTGCAGTTAATATAGGCTTTAAAATATTTGCTTATTGACTCTAATAATTTGGTCATCTTGGGTGTCAGTCTCCAGTAACTGTCTATAGCTTGAAAATAGGTAGCATTTTACTGTTTCTCAACCTGCTTGGTAATTTTGGATTGCATCTTAAACTTTGTGCATGTTGTGGAGATTCTGGGTTTTATTATATTCTTCCTGAAGTTTGTTTATTTATTTGTTTGTTTTAGAGGGCAATTAATATCACTGCATTCAAATTGAGAACCCAGTCCTTTGGAAAGAAGCTTGGGTGACCAAGTATCTCAATTTGTCTGGAACCAAACAGCGTTCTTGGGACATGGTACTTACCATTCGAAACCAGGAAAGTCATGGACAAACTGGGAAAAATTGATCACTTTTATAGCAACTCAAATCTCGGCTCATTTCTTAGATTAGAGTTGCAGTATATAAAATCAAGATACAGAAAACAGGTACATTTCTACTCACTAATAATTAAGCATATGAAAAAGAAAAATACTTAAATTCACAATAACATCAAAAACAATAAAATCCCTAAAGAATAAATTTAACCAAGGAAGTGAAAGATCTGTACAGTGAAAACTGGAAGACTTTGTTGAAAGAAATCAAAGAAGACACAGACAAATGGAAAGACATCTTGTGTTCACAGATCACAAAAATTAATATTGTTAAAATATCAGACTTACTCAAACACATCTATAGGTTCAATGCAATCAATGTCAAAATTCCAATGGCATTCTTCACAAAATTAGAAAAAAATCTTAAAATTTGTATTGAACCACACAAGACCCTAAATAGCCAAGGCAATCTTACAAAGAACAAAGCCAGAGGTATCACACTTCCTGATTCTAAACAATGCTACAGAACTAAAAGGAAAAGATGAAAGAAAAAGAAAGAAAGAAAGAAAGAAAGAAAGAAAGAAAGAAAGAAAGAAAGAAAGAAAGAAAGAAAGAAAGAGAAAGGAAAGGAAAGAAAAAGAAAGGAAAGGAAAGAAAAAGAAAGGAAGGAAGAAAGGAAGGAAGGAAGGAAGGAAGGAAGGAAGGAAGGAAGGAAGGAAGGAAGGAAGGAAGGAAGGAAGGAAGGAAGGAAGGAAAAGAAACAGTATGATATTTGCATAAGGACAGACCAAGAAACAGAATAGAGAGCTACAGAATGGGAGAAATTTTTGCAAACTCCCAGATAAGGGGTTAATATCCAAAACATATAAAAAATTCATACAGCTCAATAAGAAAAAATAAACAATCCATTTAAAAACTGGGCAGAGGAACTAAATAGACATTTTTCCAAAGACAACATACAAATGGCTGAAAGGCACATGAAAAGTTGTTCTACATCACTATTCACCAGGGAAATGCGAATCAAAACCACAATTAGATATTATGTCACACCTCTTAGAGTGGATATCATTAAGAAGATAAGAGATAACAAGTATTAGTGAGGATGTAGAGGAAAGGGAACCCTTGTACACTGTTGGTAGAAATGTAAATTGATGCAGCCACTATGGAAAACAATATGGAGGTTCCTCAAAACACTTAAAATAGGTCTATCACCAATTGAACAATTCTACTTCCAGGTACATACCCAAGGGAAATTAAAACAAGATATTGGAGAGCTATATAGACTCCCATGTTTATTAAATCATGATTCACAATAGTGAATAAAGACATGTAAATGCCCATTGATGGATGAATAGATAAAGATGTGGTGTATATATACATACACACAAAATGGAATATTATTCAGCTGTGAGAAATAAGGACTTCCTGCCATTTTCAACAATATGGACTAAGCTTGAGGACATTACGCTAAGATAAGTCAGAAAGAGAAAATCAAATACTGCATGATATCACTTATTTGTGGACTCTAAGAAAGTCAAACTCATAAAAACAGAATAAAACAGTCATAGCAGGGGATGGGGATTGGAGAATAGGACAGACGTCATTTAAGAGTACAAACTTGCAATGAGTAGTAAATAAGCCCTAACGTTCTAATGCACAGTATAGTAAATAGAGATGAGAATATTGTATTATAATCATCAAACTCACTAAGAGACCAGAACTTAATGATTCCAACAACTAAAAAGAAATAATTATGTAACATGATAGAGGTATTAATTATCACTACACTGGCAATCATATTTAATATGTACATGTATCATATTAACACATACACCTTAAATTTAGTCATAGGTCAAATATACTTCACCTAAAAAATTAGATATACAATATTAAAATAGTAATAAGTAGCAATAAAAAATGTCCATTACAGATGAATGTATAAACAAAGTGTGTATATACCCACAGAATACTATTTGGACTTAAACAGGTGTAAGTCCGGGGAGAGGAAATCCCAGGGCAAAATACTCTAAAATAAAAATCAGTCAAAGGGAGAAATAAAGTTTAAAACCCATTTATTGCTTACAAACTGCAGTCCAGGGCCATCTCTTTCTTCCTCCAGCTGAAGTAAATCAGCACCCCCCACCTCCTCTCTCAGGTTCAGATAAGCCTTCTGTTGCCCAGGTAATTATTTACTGATATAGAGATGAACATCTTTCCACCCCTGAGGAATACCTATTGATATGCAGGTGTATTAAAGCCATACTTCTCTCCACCCCTGAGGATGCACTAAAGCCAGGTGAGATATTCTGGGAATATTACAATTTACCCACAACTGGAAAGGCACATGCTGCACTACGGATGAACCTGGAAAATAGTAAGTGAAATAAATCAGGTGAAAAGAACAAATATTATGTGATTCCACTTACAGGATACACCTAGAAATAGGCAGATTCAATAGAGCAACATCTAGTCAATGTTTCTTCTCTCTCTTGTCTTTTTTGGGAAAATTTTTTTATCATTCCATTTCCTTTCTTCATAATTTACATGTATTATTGTCCATATTAATTTTATCTTGTTTTTTCAATCCCACTAGATGCCATTATTTGTTTATTGCTTATTTAGACTTATCAGATATTTACTACTGTCTTTAATCTTTAGTCTTTGTTGCATATCAGATCCTCCATTAGGATTACAGTTGGCCTTTGAAAAACATGAGGGTTAGGGGTACTGACCTTCAACTGAGTCAAAAATCTGCATACAACTTTTAACTCCCCAAAACCTAACTACTAATAGCCAATTGTGATTAGAATCCTTACTGATAACATAAGTAGTTAATTAACACATATTTTGTATATATTATATGCTGTATTCTTATAATAAAGTAAGCTAGAGAAGAGAAAATCATTTTTCAAATTGCCACAATTCTCCAAAAAATTTTCCAATATATTTACTGTAAAAAAATCCACGTTATAGGTGGACCCACACAATTCAAACCCATCTTGTTTGAGGATCAATTGTATTTCCTTTTGCTTGAAATATATAATCATTAAGATTTCCTTTAGTGAACCTACTGAGAGTGAATTTTGTTTTCACTTAGAAAATGCCTTTCTTCAAGCTCATTATTGGAAAGGTAATTTTTGTTGTTTACAGAATACAAGATTGGCAATTTTTTCTTTCAGCACATTGTCTTCTGATTTTACATTGTGGCTGTTTAGAAGTCCCCTTTCAGACTTCAGTTAGCATTTTCTAGGTAGTTGCTTTTAAGATTTTCTCTTTGTCTTTCATTTTTATTAGGATTTCTTGTTTTATTATGATATTTATTTGAAGCTAGATGAGGATTTGTCTTTACTTAGTGGGCTTCGCCAATTTGTAAGTTAGTGGTCTTCCATTAGTTCTAGAAAATTCTCAGCCATCATCTCAAATATTAACTCTCTCATTCTCTCTTTGCTTCTTTGGAACTGCAATTAGACATCTTAGAGCTCATTTTCTAACCTTTCTTTTATATTTTGCACTTTTTGTTTCTCTATGCTGGATAATTTATTCTGACCTATCTTTCAGTTTTCTCTGGCATAGAACTGAATCTGCTGTTAAACATACCTGTTTTTATACACAGCAAGTACAACTCCTTTCAGGTTCCTGGACCCAATTCCAATGTGTGTGTAGTAGGGGGAGGGAGTGGGGATAGGGTCTTCCTACACACAACACCAAGCAATTTCGAACACCAGCAGGGTGCCCAAGAACTCAACTAGGTTCTGATGCTATATGCCCAGAGACAGCATCAAATTCCCCAGGTTAAGGGCTCCATCCTACAAAACTGCCCTTCACCTCCCAACTCCAGACACTAGTCACAAGCCCCAGGCAGTTACCTTTGGCTCTGACCAACCAGCTACAGATTGGAAGTTCCAATGACCTTTGCCTAAAGTTTGACCAATTTGCTAGAGCAGCTCACAGAACTCAGGAAAACACTTACTGTTTACCGGTTTACCATAAAGGATACAAGTTAACAGCCAGATGAAGAGATACATAGGGCAAGGTTCCAAATAAAGGAGCTTCTATCATCTTGGAACTTGGGGCTTGGCTTGGTGGGAAACTTTCTGGTTCCCCAAGTGTGGAAGCTTGGTCTGACAGAGAAGCAGGATCCAAGAGAGAGAGATGCTCTTTTAATGGGTTTTTGTGAGGTCTTCATTGCATTGTTGTAATTGCCTAAATTAGTGGCCATTAGCTGATTCAACCTCCAGCCCCCACCCTTGGGTGGGGTCCAAAAGTCTCTCATTAACATGACAAGACACCCATTTCACTTTTAAATCTCTAAAGTGTTTTCACAACTCTGGATCAAGACCACATATACCTGGCGAATATATATTTGGTCATCTGAATGAACAAACATGTATTTCTTTTAACTCATTATATCACAATATCCAACACATTTTTAAAGTTCAGTTTTTATGCTTTCCTTTTCTTATTCTATTTGGTGTTTTTTTTTAGATTC